ATTTAATCCCTACAAGAACTGTCACCGGGTGGAGAATTTGCATTGACTATAGAAAATTGAACAGTGCCACCCGGAAGGACCACTTTTCCCTCCCCTTTATTGACCAAATGCTTGATAGATTAGCTGGTCAGGAGTACTATTGCTCAGATTGCTATAGCCCTAGAGGACCAATAGAAGACCACTTTTACGTGTCCTTGTGGCACGTATGCGTTCAAGAGAATGCCCTTTGGTCTTTGTAATGCACCTGCGACTTTTCAAAGGTGTATGATGGCCATTTTTACTGGCATGGTTGAGAGGTTTGTGGAAGTGTTCATTGACGATTTTTCTGTGTTTGGATGTTCTTTTGATAACTGCTTGATGAAACTTGATAAAGTACTTGCTAGGTGTGAAGAAACTAACTTGGTGCTAAACTGGGAAAAGTGTCATTTCATGGTACGTAAAGGTATAGTTTTGGGGAACAAGGTGTCCAAAGATGGTTTGCAGGTGGACAAGGCAAAGGTGGAAGTGATTGAAAAATTGCCTCCGCCGATATCTGTCAAAGGCATTCGCAGTTTCTTGGGCCATGTAGGTTTTTATCGTCATTTCATTAAAGATTTCTCGAAAATTTCCTCTCCCTTGTGCAGGTTGCTTGAGAAAGATGTCGCCTTCAATTTGATGATGCCTTTCTGATGGCATTCGAGGAGATGAAGGGAAGCTTGGTGACTGCACCAATCATAATTGCTCCGAATTGGGAGCAGCCATTTGAGTTGATGTGCGATGCGAGCGACTTGGCTGTTGGTTCTGTCTTGGGGCAAAGGAGAAATAAAATCTTCCACTCCATCTACTATGTGAGCAAAACTCTGAATCCAGCTCAGATAAACTACACAGTCACTGAAAAAGAGTTGCTTGCAGTGGTGTGGGCGTTTGACAAGTTAAGGTCATATCTTGTGGGGACTAAAGTCATCGTCTACACAGATCATTCAGCTATCAGATACCTGTTTGAGAAGAAGGACACCAAGCCGAGACTGATTTGGTGGGTCCTACTCTTGCAGGAGTTTGATTTAGAGATTCGAGATCGCAAAGGAACAGAGAATCAAGTGGCTGATCACTTGTCCAGATTAGAAAATCGGAATCATGTAGCTGAAGGGGGTGCAATTAAAGAAACATTCCCTGATGAGCAGTTATTGGCAATCACCTCAAGCACAGCCCCGTGGTATGCAGATTATGTGAACTTTATTGCAAGCGGGGTGACACCACCAGAATTGACACCCGATAATAGAAGAAGGTTCTTACATGATGTGAGGCTTTACATGTGGGATGAGCCATTCTTATATAGGCTCTGTGCAGATCAGTTGGTGCGGAGATGTGTTCTTGAGGAGGAGATGAATGCCATACTTCATAGCTGTCATGCCTCGCCATACGGAGGTCATCATGATGGAGACAGGACCGCCCAGAAAGTGCTACAATCATGTTTCTATTGGCCAAAATTGTTTAGGGATGCACACGCATTTGTTAAAATGTGTGACAGGTGCCAAAGAACCGGAACGATCACAAAGAAGCACGAGATGCCGCTGCAAAACATTCTGGTAGTGGAGCTTTTTGATGTGTGGGAAATTGACTTCATGGGACCGTTATACTCCAATGGTCATAGGTACATCTTGGTGGCAGTCGATTATGTGTCTAAGTGGGTGGAGGCCATTGCTCTTCCCACTAATGATGCAAAGGTGGTGGTAAGCTTTGTTAAGAAGCACATCTTCATACGCTTTGGAACTCCCAGAGTGTTGATCAGTGATGGAGGAATGCATTTCTACAACAAACTGCTGAATAATGTTCTTGCAAAGTACGAAGTCAAACATAATGTTTCCACTTCCTATCACCCCCAGACGAGTGGTCAAGTGGAAGTATCAAACAGAGAGGTGAAGTAGATTCTTGAGAAAATAGCGAGTGCAAATAGAAAAGACTGGGCAGGGAAGTTAGATGACGCATTGTGGGCATATCGAACTGCATACAGAACTCCCATAGGTGCTTCTCCGTATAAGTTAGTTTATGGGAAGGCATGTCACTTGCCTGTCGAACTTCAACATAAGGCCTATTGGGCAATTAAAAAGCTGAATATGGATGGGGACTTGGCTGGCGAGAAGAGGTTGCTGCAACTCAACGAGCTTGATGAGTTTCGTTTGCACGCATATGAGAATGCCAAATTGTATAAAGTGAAGACTAAGAGGTGGCATGACAAGCACATTCAACATCGAGAGTTCGAGCCAGGGCAAGAAGTTCTTTTGTTCAATTCGAGGTTGAAGCTTTTTCCCGGAAAGCTTAAATCTCGTTGGTCAGGCCCTTTCGTTGTGGTAAGTGTGAAGCCTCATGGAGCTGTGGAATTGCGGGATATGAGTTCAACTGGTACTTTCTTGGTGAATGGTCAAAGGATAAAACATTACTGGGGTGGTGACTTTGCACGTCACAAGACCTCGGTGGACTTGACAGATGCTTGAGAACGTGTTGAGTCGTGCCGCGACGTTAAATCAGGCGCTAGATGGGAGGCAACCTATTGAATTGTTGTAACCGTCGTGCCACGATGTTAAATAAGGCGCTGGTTGGGAGGCAACCCAACGATAGTAGTAGTGTTAATTTTGTGTTTTAGGACGAGCTAACCAATGCAGGTGACAAAGGGTAGGTGCTAAGGCAAATGAACGAGGTAAGAACAGGTGAAAAGTTGAAGAAAAAAAACACCCAGATGCGCGCCCGCGCTACTGGACGCTCTACTGGGTGGGCTAAATTGCAAAGTTTCTGCCTTGGACGCGCTAAAATGAGTGCGCTACTAGTGCGACCGCGCTACTGAATGCGCACCTGGGCGCGCTAGTTGCTCAACGTTTCTGTGTTGGCCGCGCTAAAATGAGCGCGCTCGCGCACCTAGGCGTGCTAGTTCCGTAAAAAATCCGGCGTTTTTGTGTAAATATTTTTTTTAGTTTTTTTATTTGTTTAATCTTTAGACTAAATTGCCCCCTACTAACCCCCTCCCCGTCTCTTCTTACCCCTTCAAACAAAATACCCCCCCTTCGTCTACCCCCAGTCAAACACACACAAAATCAAAAATCCTCTTCCCCCATTCTTCCAATCAAACCCCACCAACAAAAAAATCCCTGCCTCAAATCCCTTCCCCCATCTCATGACTCCTTCCCCCCGAGTTCACTAGCATCTTCCCCATTCTCCTTCACCATAGGTATGAGCCCTAGTTTCTTTCTTCTCTTTTTCTCTCTTTATTTTTCAGATTTGTTTGTTGTATTCTTATGCTTATGTTGTAGTAGTTGTACTTAGATTTTGTGTAAAAATTGGTGCAATGTGTTTTGGTGTTGGTGGAGGATCAGTGTGGGGTGAAATCCCACTTGATTTATGTTGTTAGTGAATGTATGTGGGTGGTTATTGTTCTCAAAAGCTTAAAAGGTGTTGTGAATGCCTAATGCCTACAAGGTGGTTGTGGAAAGGTCCCAATGAGCATGATTATGTAATTGTGACCACTTATGCGTGTGAAGTCTGAGTAACCACATTAAGTCACAATATTTTTGTTGGGTTGGGCTAATGTGTTCCCGTTTTGCAGGCATCATGACTCCATCTAGGAAACGACGCGCCACAGGAGCCTCATCAAGTAGCCAGGCTGGTTCATCTAGTTCCAAATTTGTTTCAGCCAATGCTCAGGCCCGCTTTGCGGAAAAGGCTTGTAAAAAGCCAATTCCGGAGAGAGGTATTAACGTCGGACAGCTCCAGAGACACTGTCCTCACATGTACGAGGAGTTGGTGAGGCGAGGGTTGCACACATTCATCAATGAGCCCGGTGAGGGCAATGCAACGGTTGTGCGGGAATTTTATGCGAATGTGCCAGAGCATGATAATGGAGTAGTCACGGTGCGTCGAAGGGCAGTGAATGCTTCTGTTGAGGCGATACGGATGGCCTACCAGCTACCTCCACCTCTAACTATTTATGATGACTTCTATGAATACGGCCGCAACCCAACGAACGAAAAATGGGCGCGATTCTTTGAGACTATTTGTGCACCCAGGAAAGAAGTGGTCTGGATGGACTATAGAGAGAAGTTTCTCTCCTCAGCACTCACCTTTGAAGGGAAGTGCTGGTTGTACCTCATAAACAACCGCTTGATTCCGTCTCACAATACTACAGAGGTCAATGGGCCCCGCACTGCATTGATTTGGTGCTTTGTAAATGGTCACGACTTTGACATGGCCAAAGTGATGCATGACGAGATATTCGTCCGTAGCCAAGTCAAAAGGTATGGGTTCTTTTTCCCTTCTTTAGTTACTCAACTATGCAGGGATGCTCAAGTGCCCGAAAATATAGCTGTGGATGGGTTGGTAAAAAGGGAAGGCCAATTCCGCGCTGATAAAGTGACCACGGGCAAGAAGCCGGAAGTAGTAGAGGAGGAGGCGAGAGGTGGCTAGTCTGCGAGTAGTAGCTCTGATGATTCTCATGACGGAGAGGATGCTGAGGTGCACATGGGGACAACACCGCAGACTCAGGAGCAAAATGTGGCAGCAACAGGACCATCTGGGATGGCAACATCTTTAGGAGCTTCCCGGGTATCCCGTTTTACTGCGATGGAGGCGGAGATGGCTGGTTTGCGTACCTCCATGGCTGATTTGGGCACTCGAGTAGATGCGGTAGCTGACCGACAAGTGAAGTCGGAAAAGAAATTCATGGGCTGGCTGCGAGCTCTAGGGCGTGCGTGCAACGTAAACCCGGAAACCGTCTCCGACCAGGAGTGAACCCTCAGGGAAGTTCCTTACCTCACTGCTCTTTCAAATTTTAAGCCATATGGACATGTCTTCATTTTTAAGTGTGGGGTGGGGATTTCTTCAGTGTATGTTGTATGTAGTTGTATCGATTGACTGTTTGTTTTGTTTTGTTTCATTTTGACTTGATAGTTTTGATGATGATTGAGTAGGAGTCGTTTGTTTAATTTAGATAAATGGCTCGTCCCGATGATGGATCCCTTTCGGCGGGGTTCTTGAGGGACTGAGTCGAAAAAAAAATTGGAAAATATGTAGACTCTTCCTGATGACGGATCTTTTAGACGATTTTCTTGAGGGAAGTTAGTTTAGAGAAAACACCAAAAAGATTTTTTTTATTTTTTTTCTTAGGTAGTGTAGCAACTCCCCCTTGGTTTTTCTTTAGGCCACGGTTCTTTTCCAAGGGTTTAGCTTGAACCGGGTATAGGTAGTTTTTTTTATTTTGTTTTCTTTTTGATTTGTAGATTAGGTTAATGGGCTACGAGCTAGAGAATCAAAAGAGAACCCATAGCGTTGACACACCCGAACACAATAGACCCTAGAGTGTAACGCTTAGTCTTATTTGTTGAATCTCACTAAAAATGCCTTAATCTGTATGTTTGTTACTGAATTGAATGCTCGTAATAGAGCGCCTTGATGAGCTGATCTGAATGAGTCATATGCCATGTGTGGTGAGTTTTTGTGTAGTCCATGTATTGTACTTGTGTCTAGAACTTGCCCGGTATGTGAGTTGAAGCGAAATTTTAGGTGATGCTCGGTTTGAAAAATGATTTTAGGCTTTCTTTAACCTTGTTGAGCTTAATTTCTTATCACAAATATAATTTGTCCCTAGCTAACCCTTTTGAGCCTATAGACTTTTGTTTGGCACCCGCATTACAAGCCTATACCCTTTGTTCTTAATTGACATTGTTTTTATCCTTTTACCTCTTAAAACACTTTAATTGTGAGATGATTGCTAAAAGAAGTAAGAAGGAAATAAGTGTGGGGTGGCTTTTGAGTGGAACCAATAAAAGGAAGAAAGGTGCACTTGTTTTGTAGAATAATACACCACTAGCGGAAAGTGAAAAGAAAAAGAAGAATAAACTCAAAAAAAAAAGAAGAGAAATGAATACATTGTGTCTTGTTCCAGCTAGTGGGTATGAATTAATATAGTTCTTAAAGAAGAAGGGAGTATTTGTAGGGTGATATTGTTTGTGAAAGTGAAGTGGGTTGAAGAATTTGCGCGAAAATTGCTCTTGTGATGTGTTAAAATGCTTAGGAGGGTTAGTCACTATTCCTAAATATATCCTACCCATCCCTTAGCCAACATTACAACCATGAAAAAGTCCTAATTGATTTTGGGTCGAGCAAGCCTACATTAGTAGAGAT